GGTCGATAGGTGTTGCCGTAGTCGCGGAGCCCTATTCTGTCCCTCCCCGTCCAAACTGGATGGGTGACTGGGACGGCTCCGTGGCAGTCGTCGGTTCCACGACGGCTCATTCCCCGCCCTTGTCGCTAAGAGACAAGGGCACTGGATATGTTGCCGTCGAGTGGGGGGGGATCACCATATATGGTGTCTATTTCTCCCCCAACCGGAGTTTGAACGACTTCGAGGTTTTCCTAACCAGCTTGGAGACCTCGATACGGCGACTAGCGTCTGGGCACGTCCTTGTGCTGGGGGACTTCAACGCAAAGTCCATTGCGTGGGGTTCCCCCAGGACGGACGCCAGGGGCGAGGCCGTAGAGGAGTGGGCGGCCTCGGTGGGCCTCTGTCTTCTAAACAGAGGCTCCACCAACACGTGCGTGCGACAGCAGGGGGGGTCGATAGTGGACCTTTCGTTCGCTACCCCTGTCCTCGCCGCACGAGTAAGGAACTGGTGTGTCCTGGAAGAGGTTGAGACGCTCTCGGATCACCTGTATATCCGATTTGAGCTCTCCCGGACCCAGGACTCCAGTAGGGGTCACGTGGCGCGGCGTTTATCCCGCTTTCCGCGGTGGGCTATTGCCAGGCTGAACCGGGACCTACTAGAGGAGGCAGCCATAATTCACTCGTGGCTGTCTCCTCAGGCTCCGACCGAGGAGGTCGACGTGGGGGCTGGCCGCTTTCGCGATGCGATTACGCATGTATGCGATGCGGCCATGCCCCGCGTTCGAGGTCGTCGGCCTCCAAGGAAGGAGGTCTACTGGTGGTCCCAGGAGCTGGCGGACCTCCGTGCGGCCTGTACACGTGCCCGGAGGTCCTACACGCGCAGTCGGCGGCGTCACCGTGGAGACGGTGAGGAGGACCGGCTTCATGAGGAGTACCGACGGGCGCGGAAAACTCTGAAGCTGGCCATTAGCCGCGCCAAAGAGGAAAAAAGACAGGAGATGCTGGAGGGTCTTAATCGTGACCCCTGGGGTCGCCCTTACCGCGCGGTGCGACAAAAGCTCCGCGCGTCGGGCCCCCCCCCTTACGGAGACTCTCCAGCCCAGCTTCCTGCGAGAAGTGGTTGAGGGCCTTTTCCCACAACGGGCGGAACACACTCCCCCGTCGATGGCCTCCCTGGCCGGAGACGACGGGGAGCACGGGGAGGACAATGTTCCGCCCGTCCGGGAATCGGAGGTAGGGGCGGCTGTTCTACGGATCCGTTCCAAGAACACCGCCCCTGGGCCAGACGGGGTACCGGCCCGAGTGCTGGCCCTGGCCCTCAACCACATGGCAGACCGCCTCGGGGAGGTGTTCGACGCTAGCTTGGCGTCGGGACGCTTCCCTGAGTGCTGGAAGAGCGGGAAGCTGGTCCTATTGACGAAGCCGGGACGGCCTGCCGATTCGGTCGCGGCCTATAGGCCCATCGTGCTGCTGGACGAGGCGGGCAAATTGTTTGAGAGGGTTCTTTCTGCCCGCATCGTCCGGCACCTCTGCGAGGTGGGCCCCGATCTGTCGGACGCCCAATTTGGTTTTCGGGCGGGGCGTTCGACAGTCGACGCCGTGTTGCGCCTGAGGGCCGTGACCGAAGAGGCCGTGAGCTGTGGCGGCGTGCTGTTGGCGGTGTCATTGGACATCGCCAACGCATTCAATAGTCTGCCATTCAGCTGCATCAGGGAAGCACTCCACTATCATGGGGTGCCAAAGTACCTGAGGCGGCTGGTGGCAGACTATTTAGAGGAGCGTACCGTCGTGTACGAGGACCGAGAAGGTAATTTGAGGAGTCGGCCCATGTCGTGCGGTGTTCCACAGGGGTCTGTTCTTGGACCCCTCTTGTGGAACATAGGGTACGACTGGGCCCTTCGCGCCGATTTCCCCCCCGGGCTGGGTGTAATCTGTTACGCAGACGATACCCTCGTGACAGCCCGGGGGGCAAACTTCCAAGAGGCGGCGCGCCTGGCCACAGGGGGAGTCTCCCTGGTGGTCGGGCGCATTGAGGCGCTGGGCTTACGGGTGGCCCTAGATAAGACGGAGGCCCTATTATTTCATGGGCCCCGTCGTGGTCCACCCCCTGGCGCCTCAATAGTGGTCAACTCGGTCCTCGTACCGGTTCGGGCCCAGATGAAATATCTGGGCCTGATCCTCGACGGGAGGTGGCTCTTCGACGAGCACTTCCGACAGCTTGCTCCAAAGCTGGTCGGCGCTGCGTCTGCCCTAGGGCGACTCTTGCCCAATATGGGTGGACCCAGCGTCGCGACAAGACGGCTGTACACGGGGGTTGTCCGGTCAATGGCGCTGTACGGTGCACCGGTGTGGGCGGCGGCTCTGACCGCCCAGAATAGGGTACGCCTCTGGCGCCCTCAGAGGGTAATGGCGGTCAGAGCCATACGCGGTTACCGCACCGTTTCTACGGAGGTGGCGTGCGCGTTGGCCGGAACTCCCCCGTGGGATTTGGAGGCGGAAGTGCTCGCCGAAGTTTATCGGCGAGTGGCTGACTTCCGGGCGGAGAGCGGATTTCGCCCTCCGCCCGAGGATGTGCGCGAGTGGCGCGAAGCCGCTCGCCGAGCCACGATGGCTCGTTGGTCGTTCCGGCTGGAGACTCCACGCGCTGGCTTCGCCGCCGTGGAGGCTCTCCAGCCGGTCATCGCCGAGTGGGCAGGGCGGCAGCACGGGACCCTTTCCTTCCGACTGACGCAGGTGCTTTCCGGGCACGGTTGCTTCGGAAAGTACCTGCACACGGTCGCTAGGAGGGAACTGAGTCCCGCCTGCCACCACTGCGACTGCAGTGAGGACTCGGCCCAGCACACGCTGGCGGTCTGCCCCGCATGGGCGGCGCAGCGCCGGGCCCTCACTGCAGTCATCGGAGTGGATCTCTCGCTACCGGCCGTAGTACGCTCCATGGCCGGTAGCGACAGTTGTTTTACCGCGGTCGCAACCTTCTGCGAGGTAGTAATCTCGCGGAAGGAGGCGGCGGAAAGGGCCCGGGAGGACGACCTCCACTCGGACCCGATCCGCCGCCGGCGAACCGGGCGGCGGAGGCCCGCCTACCACAGCCTCATGCCGCCCTGAGTGTGGCCGCGGGTGGACGGGGTGGGTTTCCCCTCCACCCGCATTAGTTGGCCAGCCGCGAGGGGGCGGCGTCCGCGTGTGCCGGACGTCGCCTAAAGAGAGGAACATCTACATCGAGACGGAGCCCGCACCAGGAGCGGGCTGGCGCTAGGAGGGGTCCGGATGTCTTAACAACAGCTGTTCCCGGATCCCTCCTGTTACAGGCGCAGAGTGGCACACCGTGTGGTTTTAGTCGGTCCGAGTCCGACACACCACCCCGCCGCAAACCCCGGAGGGGTGACGGTCCGAGGGGATTTCCACACGTTAAAAAAAAAAAAAAAAAAAAAAGGTTCAGTGAGTGCCGTGTACTTGAGTGGAGAGTGTCTTAATGGGCTTGTCCTGGGTGGTCGGTTTGCGGGAAAGCACTGATGCTGTTGATGAATTGATGGAGATCGAGCGGTCCGAGTCCGCCGTCGGCGCACGCGTTGTGTCCGGTAGCATAAGGGTTAATGCCACATCAGACGAGCAGTATTCATGTGTCTGACCTTGCGGCCTTGAGCATTCAGTTGTAGAAGTTGATTGACTCACTTTAAGCTTGAGTGCACAATGGATGGAAGCCTGATAGGATAAGCACAACCAATACCAATGTATTTAATTATTTCATTTAGACTTTGATTCCCTCTTATCGCGGTCTTTTGTTGTTTATTCGAACGTTAAAAAGCCAGTGGGAAGATGTCCAGTCAGGGTCGAGTCTTACAGCCTGGCGCGGTTGGAGGAGCGTTAGACCTCCCCCACAGGGAGGGGAGCTGGCTACGTGTTTTATAGTTGAAAAACTGCTTTACTCAGGCTAGGGTTATTTGAGGTACCATCACAAGCTGTTGATGATGATGATGAAACTAAAAACATGTAAAAGAAAAAATACTTTTAAATCAGTATTATGGGTATAAATCAGTATTTAAATGAAATTTCCCATAATCCTTTTGTTAAAATGTTAATATTGAAGAAATGAAGCAAGAGCAGTTACAGAATATCAATTTTAGATAGCATTACTTTTGACTGTTTCTATACCGTCATGCGAAAACGGTGCGCCTCCCTGGTGCGCAGGGTGCGGGTCAGCTCCAACAGCATACTCAACATGCTGGCGAGTAGACTAGATTGATTAGATAGTAGACTCATTGCAATTAGTCTAACCTTAATTTATAAAACGTAATATAACCTAATATAGCTGTAAATTCAAATTGTTACTAACATCTTTGAGTATTAGTTACTCCAATAAATAATTTATTATTGTTATTATTAGAGTTGCCTAAAATTGATGTAAGAAATAAAGTTGGTAACAAAATATTAACATTTATTATTGGTGTTTCGATAGAACAGTTACAATTAGTAAACACACTTGACTAGACATCCAAAGAGAACAGAGCTGTTATCGCTCGTGTACTACATATTTCTTGCCATATTTGGATTTATGTATATTATCAATAAAAAACTGTCTACACTATTTAATCCACTCATCAAAATTATTTTTACTCAAAAGTAATAAATACTGCTATACACAGCCATAGAATTATAAGTCCCCGCTTAAGTTACAATGTAGGTCAGAGTTTAAAAAAATCCCTTAAACCTAAAAGTATTTGAAGAAGAAGCTAAAAATCTTCAATAAACAAAATCGTATTTTCTTTTAGTAAAACTCTCATGTAATATTTTAAAATATTTCTTTTGTAAATGAAAATGACAATTTAAATTTGAATATTTTTAGGAACATTGAGAGCCCTTGTAATTCTACTACGTGTAACAACGGAATTTGGCCTTAAGCTTCCTAATTTCATACTGTATTGTTATACTGAAAGCGAAAAAACGTCGTCAATATAAATAAGTTTTTTCTCAGATAACCTTCAAGGAACCGCATGATAAAATCGTAATCCAGGAAAATGATTTTACGTATCCGAAATATCATTTTCATGTTCTCCAAATTTATCCTTTAACAGGTTGATGAAACACCTGCCACGTGTCTCACACCTGAAAGCACAAAAAATCTTTGCGATTATTTGTATTGCTGGACTTTCTGAAAATTGTGCTTAGATGGCGGTATTTCCTTCGTTAATAACCACGTTTATATCCAACACTGTATTTATTTCGATGTGTTTCTAGAAATAGATTTATTTTTATTTATTATTATAACAAATAAAAAATAATTTAAAAAATTTGGAAGAGTTTTTTGATGCTTGTATGTAAATAGTGTAAAAGTTTTAAATATTTTAATTGCATAAATATATTTCTTTTTTACTGTAAGCTTATATTTTACGAATAGTTAAATAATTAATGAAATTTAATATTTATAAATATATCTTTAATTTAGAAACCATATTTGTACTCAATTATGACCACTAACAATTAAACAGTAATTTTTATAATTAAGTGACAAAATATATTTTTATGCATATGGTCATTTGATACACGCGAGGTAATATGAGGTCACGTCTGCTAGACTCTATAAAAACCTTTTAGAATAAATTGCCCAATTTGGGATCTTGTTCACGAGCGAGCGTTTATACTTTTTTGTGTTTGAAATAGGACAGAACAGGAAAATACAAAGGGAAATCTTTTCACTGAGTTAACGTACGGACTTTCTTGTTAGGGTGATGTATACGTAAATATATGTATATGACTAACTATATACGTGTATGACTAACGGATTTAATTATTTAGATTAACATAAAATTAATTGAAATAACTAAAGGTAAATTCGGAGACCATTTGGAATTAAGAAAAAAATTGTAGTGGGTGGATAAAAGCTTTAGAAAGCAACTCAATTTAATATCTAGAACTCGAGAATGGGTACAAGGTATTTTGTTAAAAGTTCTTTCAGTCAAAGCAAAATCATAAAATTTTATAAACATAATATATTTTATGAAATATTGCAGTAAATCAACGTGTTCCAAAATTTGAGACTCATACCTTGACTAATATTACAAATATAAAAATCAATTTATTAGTTTGTTTGTCTGTGACGCTTTCATGCCTTAACATTTTAACTGGTCATAATAATATTTGCATACCTACATTGCCAAGAGTTCTTACGGCAAAGGACATCAAATATCTTTCACACAGAAAAAAAAAGAGCAATTATTATAGTTAATGGTTTTAAAATGATAGCTTATGGAAGTAAATACTAACAATATAAATAGGTATGTAATATTCAGATTTTTAAGAAAAAGATGGTTAGTTAAATACATTTGCCACACCTGATTATGCGTTACTTGCTGGAAAGGTTACGAACCTTATACATTTCGGTTGTGCCACGTCCCGTCAAAATTTTCAGTTATGTGCCGTAAACAATAGTCATAATAATGAACTAAAAAATATATAAAAATGGTATTTATATTTTGTAATACTTACATATTTTAAATCTTTTTGTTTGATTTCTTACACGATATAGATAAATATTTGGTAGTTACATGGAATGTAAATTACTACAGCTAAAGGACCGAGAGGAGCGCCCATGGCCGGTAGTGGCAATTGTTTTACCGCGTTCGCATCCATCTGCGAAAATGTCATCTCGCAGAAGGAGGCGGCCGAGAGGGCCCGGGAGGATGATCTCCCTTCGGACCCAATTCCCGGGTGGCGGAGGCGCGCTTACCAGTGGCCTGAATGTGGCCGAGGGTGGACGGGACGGGTATTTCCCCCCACTCACCATAACGACCAGCCGCAAGGAGGCGACGTCCGCATGTGCCGGACGTCACCTAAATAGAGAATGAACTCGAAGATAGTGTCCGTGGCTTTGCAGGTTGGCGCTGGACGTCCTAATAACAGCAGTCCCCGGATCCCTCCTATCACAGGTGCAGAGTAGCACACCGTGGTGTTTTCGTCAATCCGATTCCGACATACCCCCCCCCCCCCCCCCCCCCGCGCCACAAACCCCGGGTAGAGTGACGGCCCGAGGGGGTTTCCACGCGTAAAAAAAAAAGAGCGATGAAAGAGTAAACACTCGACTAAACTTTAAAACTATTACTATAAAACTAATACATACATGGCAAAAACATGCTCGCTTGGCCTCAGGCCATGTGTATGCACCGTATGTATGTGTAAGTAATAGTTTTAAATTTAAAACATTCTTTATTCATTCAAATATATAAATAAAAAGCAAAATAACGGTGGTTAAGTATCAGTTTGTGGATTTCTTTTAACATTGTCTAAGGTTACACTTTCAAGTTTTAAAAATGTACCAACATCTGTAATTTTAAATTTAGAAACAAGACAAATCACCATTGGTATAAATATCTAGACGTAGTTTGCTAGAATACGGTCTTTCTTGGAATATGTCTCATTAAAAATTTTCATGAAGTTAACTCCGTAGTCTAGTTGCTTACAGCATTTGCTTGAAACTTTTCTTCACTCTTCTTGTAAAGTTTAGAGGTCACTCTGTATTAAGAATAAATAACATACCAGCAAAATATTATAATAAAAATATCAGCAAAACTATTTACAGAAACCACATCCTGATAAAATTGAATAATGATTACTTATGTAATAATATATTTAGTTGCTTGCACACGTTTTTGTTTTGTATATATGTATGTGTCTTTTACTACGGTGATTTTGTCGATGTTGGTGGTTTGTGGCAGACAAATACAGTCCATAGTGGATCACAAGCTTGGGCGTATTAGAGAAGTGTTCACCGTGTAATTGAGCTTTTATCAGCTGTGGTTTACGAATATGTTGAATGTAAAAGTAAAAATTTAAGAGCGTTAATGTTAATCTAAGGTAAGTACAGGCATTATTCTATCAAAGTTTCTAAGCAAGATGTAGCATTGATGTAAAGCATCATGTAGAGTCAATTTGGTCACTTGACATTTTATCTGAAAAATAACTGAGAAATAGACCAAACTAACCAATGAAAAAATCAAAATACATGTTTTACAAAGTCAGAAGTAAGTCCTAGGAGTTTTTTTACAAAGAATGTAATTATAAGTTTTGACATAGAGATAGACTTTAAAATACACTTTAACCTTAACCCCTAACACTTTAATGACATTTGACCCAATCATTGGAGTTCAAAAGATGAGTTTGTGCCGATTTCCAAACATACGTTGGGCCGCGGCCCGCCAGGCATGATCATCTTGCCTGATCGGAGGATCCTCCATTTATGTTGATAGGACATGACACCCGTTCCTCCACAAGTTAATATATCAATATATTTACTTACCTTGGGTACATAGCGTGTAGGTCAGGATGTACAGCATGTCTTGCATGCGGCGACATTGCTGCTGCCGCGTTGATCGCTCGGATTCGAGCTCGCAGTCGTTCGTATTTTTCAGGCTGATACTGTGCAGCTATCGTTACTGCCGTACCGGAGTACTGCTAAGATATGAAAAAAATGATTGATTTATTTTCTTGTCCATATACGGCCTTTATAACTGAAAAACATTTAAAAAAAGATTAAGTTTTCTTTAGTCGGAAACTGTTAATAAAGAGCAATTAGAAGAATAGCTATAATTACCGCCGCGGTTTTTTAAAAACTTTATTACTTAAGATGACGATACTTCTACCAAGCATCCCAAAATTTGCAAATTTAAAAAGTATTAAACTCATGAATAAAATTACAGCGGTTTTATCCCCATTGGGTTTTAGCCAAAAAGATAATATATTCAACTTTTATCATATCTAAATATTGCACATATAAAGCTAACCAAACTTGGTTGCAGATATGTTGGGTTTACCTACTTTCTCACTTTTCATCGTCTAAGTATTTTAAACATGGAAAATAGTTTAAATTACAAATACTTCCAGAAAGGTACCTTCAATGCTGCTGCTGCTTGCTCATGAGTAGCCCTCGTAAGATCTCTGCCATCAACACTGAGTATTCTGTCTCCTCTATGTAGCATGCCATAGGCTGCACCGCCAACTGAAACTCCTGACACGAAGACACCGCAGGCATCCTCTTCTGTACTACCCTCGGCCTCCCCACCTAGTCCACCCACTATGTCCATGCCCAGACGGGACCCAGAGCGCACGAGCCGCACCATTCGGACACATCTAAGTATGAAATTCGATTGTGACGTTAGGAACAAGTGAAGTACTTGTTTTTATCATTAAATATAACTGTTTAACTACAATATCAGTAAAGAAGGTTAATTCAATGTTTTTAAGTAAAAAACTAGTAAATATAATAATATCCTAAATAATTACGAACAATGCAAAAATCCTAAATCTACAATGCAACACAATAAAAAAGTTCAATTTTTTAAATTTAATTTTCTGATCTAGAACAATTATAACTTGCTTATTACTATTAGTTATGTGATAGAGTTACATAACACAAACATTTTATAACACAAAAGTAGTAAATTCTGTGTAAGTGATTGATTGATTTAAATTGATGTTTTTATTAATTTATAAAGTTTTTCACATAAAAATAATATCTATACATTTTTGTAACGTTGTTCAAAAGGAGGAATTTCTTTTTTATAAGGCTGTATCTATTCCAAAACGACTCCCAAACTGTGAAATTGCCGGCTTAGTTACAAAAGTTAAGGAATTACGAGTTGCAAAGACGCGTTTATCGGTTTTGCAGTTCCGACGAAGCAGGAGAAGTTTTGAATGTCCGAAACTTATTGTCTTTATTCCGTAGCGGTAGAATAATTTATTTAATTAGCAAATTATTATTAAAATTCGAGGTAAGCGGCTTGATAAATGTCTTTAAAAGATTACTTTATTCTAATCTTTGCTGGAAAATCTTTGTTTTATTGCAGAGAAGGAACAACTGTTTTAACAGAATCTTAAGTTTGAAAGGACTTTATAAATAATATAGAGTCCACGGAAACAATTTTATCAAAAAATCACATATTTATTAGAAACTATTATTTGAGTAAGGTTTACATAAGTTCAGTTATCACATCACACACATCACATCAACAGCCTATACTAGTCCACTGCTGGACATAGGCCTCTCCTTAGAAAGGAGGTTCTGGCCTAGTATAGTACCACGCTGGCCAGACGGGTTGGTATAGTGTTCAGTTATCAATAAGATTAATTCTGTGGTATTTGACACAAAATATTTTAATGACAAATTTCATCTGCCCGTAAAACCGTAAAATACTGTATTTTAATGTATGCCAAAAATTGATGGCAAAAAACAAATTAAACGAACACGTAAATTGTAATATCACATGAGTTTGAAAACAGTGACTTTTCTTACAACGTTTGCAACCTTTAACTCTGGTATAACCTCAAAAAGCCCACTGCTTTCAAACCTTGTAAGAAAAATAAATCCAAATCATGAGTAAGAATGACAGCACAAACATTGGTTACTTTCATTTATCAAACTATATTATTTGCCCATTTCTCACATATTTCATTTTGAGTTAGGTCAATTTTATTCTAAGGGTATGAAACTTCACACATAAAATGAAATTACCTCGGTATGTCACTGGGCTCTTCTTCTAGTAACTCGTGTAGCGTAGAACAAGATGTCGCCTGCGTTTTAGCTGTACAAAAAAGAACATATAAATATAATTTTATATATCTACTAAAGGGTTCAAGGAAAGGTTGCAAATTGTTTTTGTATTATTTGTTCACTTGTAAAAGTCGGTTTCTTCTTATTTGTAAGCAGTTGCAAGCAAGTCAGTTTTTACTGTAGAATTGAGAGTGAGCTCAAATCTTTGTGTAACGAGTCAAATAATGATTGTTTATTAAAGCTCTCCATTTGTTTCATTCTAAAAGTAAATTACCCAATTTATAGAGGCTAAATTGATTCTCTATGAACTTTAAATTAAAGTGTATTCAAAATATATAAATTTACATAATGTAATAGAATTGGGCTTAGAGTATGTTGCCGTGCACTAACTATTTAAATACAAACAAATTTATTTTGAGATTACATAAGTATACATATAGTATATATGTAACTACGTGAATAAGTTAGTATTAAGAAGATAAAATATTACAAAATGGATCAATACAACTGATCTAGACGGCTTCTACGTCAAACCCATATGTAATGAAGATCTGAACAATCAGTAAAAGAGGTCAGGTCACGTACACATCGTTCGCCATTGTCTTTGCGCTTTTGATTGCCGCATCGTGCGTCAGTTTCCATAAAGGGAATAATCTAGAGGCTGAGCTTAGTCTTTAGTTTACAGTTTTATTTTAGTTGTTCTGTCAATGCTTGACTACAAAAAAAAAACACTGAATAAAAAGAAAAGAGAGAGATTAGTAAAAATAATAAGTAAATAAAGGGGGGCTGGGAGGGGTGAGCGCACTCAGTAATGGGAAGCTTAAAACAACGGAAGGTAACATGAAAAATAAAAATCATCTTATAAAAATATTTTAGAATAAAAACCATATGCTCGGTAGCTTTTAACGTATATTAGAAATATAAGCCACAAACAATATATTAAAAGGGTGCACTTACTAGAATACAGCGGAGCGGTTTTGGCAACTGGCGGCACGGAGCCGGCAGATAACACAATAAGTGTCACTTGATCTCCGGTACTTCTTAGCGCTGATACTGCTTGAGCATGTGTTGCACCTACTAGCGATGTTTCTATACCCTGCATAAGAAAATGTCTTTATTAAAAACCTGTACTTTATTGTAAATCAAACGGTCATATACTTAGCCATGTGAAATGAGCGAAGTTACAAAAAAATCTGTATTTTTAATGCATAAAGAGCGGATTTATTTTGCGTATATCTAAATTCATAAAACACAATATACAAGTATCGATATAGTCGGCTGTTGAAAATACATAATAGAAGTTATAGCCGATGATAGACTTTTCTACTTTCTTTAAATCAGTTTGAAATTGTTAAATATATCTTTGAGTTTATACATATTATAATATTCTTAAATTATTAACAGTCTGTTAATCACTTTATCCGTGTTAATCTTTTGTTTATGTCAAATATGACAATTGATGTGGGTAACAAATTTGTGGAATATTTAAAATCAATTGTGGAACAAAAATATAAACATATCATATGACCAAGGATCAACGCAAACATTACTTTTTTTAAATATTGAAGTGTATCTATGTAGTAAAATATCTATAGTAAAACTATAAATAGGGACGGTAACACTCTGTATTCTTAATCTGTCACCACACGTTATAACTTATGTAACTTATTTGATGGTATAATAAAAAATGCGTTCCTTTGAAACTTACGTCTTTATCTCTCACAGCTAAAATTTTATCCCCTAGTCTCAATCTTCCGTCATGATGAGCGGCCCCACCGACAGCTATATGCGATACAAATATGCCTCCACCACCTGCTGCATCATCGGCTCCACCAGCGATGCCCAGCCCGAGCCCGCGAACGCCTCGCCACAAGGTGACCACTCTGGGCCGTCGAGCACGCCGTACGCGCTGTAAGAAATTTATTTATAATTAGATGTCATAAAAAAAGACCTGGGATGTAATTATAGTAAGAGCTCTTTCAGTAAATAGCATCCTTAGTGCCAAATAAACGATCTTGGTACAAGAAAGACAATTTCATTTATGAATGAAACTCTTTATTTTCTCTATTTTGTATAGATTTATTATATTATTATAAGATTATTTATTTAAAAAGAAGGCCAAACGAATCGTTTTACTAACCGTAACCTTCAGCATAAATTGGAAATTTATCAATAAATTTTCTTAAAATCTCCTATTTTTGTTCATCCATAAAATGAAGATACAAATTTTAAAACATTTCAACATGGGAAGCAAATGAATAATCTTTTCAAACCTATTGCGATGCAAGAAATGCACATTTCTGTACGACTTCTGAAAATGTTCTCTTAAATAAGTCAGAGCACCAATCCGACAGAACGAGTAAACCATTAGTGCGAATACCAAGTAAAGCAGTCTCGTACAAAGCGACCAATTAAGCTAGGTCACGATTTTAGAGAGAACGACTGTAAGTTGGTGAACTTACTAATCTAACGATGTTGCCTGCTTTCTGAAGAGCATCCACAGCTACTGAATGAGGCGCTTCTTCTACTGAGATGTCGTTCACCTGTACAGAATAAATAAAGTACTGAAATATGAATTGCGAATAACACTTGTTATTAATAAATGGATATAGAAAAGCTTTCTTTGAAGAGCTACAATTACGGAATTTTGGCAGACGAGCAGCATCCTGTTTGTTGTTTAACTAAGCTTATAAATGCCTGAGTACCTCTTCTTCAGTTAGATAATGCTCATATAAGATGAGCGAAATAGTATTTCTTTGATGGGAATATCTAGCTTGAAAATAGATTTATACATATTTTATTTTTATAAATATTTATTGCGAGTTTGTAGAAAGAAGTAAAATATAATTTTCTTTTAATTAATTGCACTATAAAAATAAGAGAGACCAAAGAGAACAGAAAAATCTTAGAAGTATACTCGTAGTATAGATATAGTTTTTGTTTGAGATAATTATAAACTAGTATTAATTTTATGAAATGAAAAATCAATAACGCGACTATACACAGTCTATGGTCTGTCGCGTTATTTGTTTTTAAGAATTTTCATTCTATGTATAGCTGCAGTGAGTAAGAATATCATCAAGAAGAAGAATACCATGGTACCGGCCTTGGTGGTGTAGTATTTTTATCTGCTCTTCACAACGGAGTGAGGAAAATAGGGTAAAATCTACGAGCACTTAACCTGCTCGTAGGGTAAAATAGAGCTTGCAACTTGACTAGTATACATTTACGCAGATAGCGTTCATGCTTTCCGATTAAATTGCATTAAATTTTCAGTTCATTTTAAGAAAATATCTGATGGAGATTAGTACGTTGTTTCGAAATCTTTATTAAAAAAACGGTTTAAGGGCATCGATTGATAATACTTTATCAATCGATGTCCTTAAAATATCATTGTTTTAGGCTTATTCGTTTTTATGTTTCTCATGAATACATAAGAAACATTAAAAACGAATAATCCTAGGACAACGATAAAAAAACTGTTATTTCACACTTTCAAATGTGACCTTCCCAAAATTAGATTTATATATGTACAAAGTTTATATTATTGTATCCTGAGCCAACATTTTAACGACTACCTGTAATAACATTTCGGAAACGTAAACAATTACAATATTCTCGTGCAAATTACATAGTTGATAGTCTGTAGCTATTGCGATACTCGGTAATACTACACAGTGTAATCTACAATGGCTTAAACGCCATAATAACAATATTGGAGTAGATTTTATCTCCTAGTTTAATTTATTATCTGCTTAAACGTGCAGCAAACCGTTAGGGATATTAAGGCAAAATTATATACAGATGGATAGTTTAACTTATTTATTGTTATATTATTAGTAGTTCGACTAGAATGATAAGTAAATTTTAAAAATACTACTATAATGAGTGAGATCTTAGAAATATGAATTGAATTTAGGTATTTTTAAGTTTCAATTATGATGACACCTAGAAAGTTTTGTAAGAGTACACTTTTAAAACCATCAATCGAAAAACTATTGAATTTCGGAAATCATACTACGCAATATAATTAATAGCATTGTTAAAAGTGCCTAACCAATGTCTCATTGGTTACAAGTTCTATGTCAAACAAGTTTCAGTATTTATAGACTGTGTTGGCTTATAATCTGGACATCATGGTGAGCTCATAGGTTGACTGACAAACGTTTTTCTTCACTCATCGCACTATTTCCATTACACGAAATATACAAATAATTAAGTAGGAAGATTAGGCTCACTTCCACAAATTATTATCTTGGCATATCTTAATACGTTCTTGTAATTCGTTATCAGTTTAATTAGGCACATGTCTGAGTAGGGTAATATTGTTGTTATCGCAGCCAACTTTAGTAGTTAGAAGGACAATTAAATGTATATAATTGGCACAAAGATAGGCAGTCGGTTGCCCGTTGTATATTGGTATATTTCAAACATAATCAAAACTGGTTCTTAACATTAGATACTTTATGAAGGCAGTTACGCCCACCCGACTCTTAGAATAAAGATCAAGTTTACGCAAAAATCTTTCGGACACACCTCTTCATGACGTCGTCGTCGAACGGGAAGATAACTTTACACATTTCTATAAAAGAGCACACCTCTATGATATATAACGTCGTATAACCGTGACTCTTACGGTTGTTAAAAAGTATTTTACTTGAGTGTTTACTTGTAATCATTTTAAAAATTATCGTTTAAAATAGATTTAGAGATTATTGAAATGTGCATGTACCTGTAGATCGTTTGTGTATTCAGGCGATGATAACCGAAATGAGGCCTTTGATCTTAATTTTAAAATAGATCAACGATAAAATTACACAAATTTATATCTATAACCTTAGTAGATATGATTTGTTGATATAAGAAAAGTATTAGTCAGTAATTAAGCAAATAGAATGGAAACTAAAGGAAAATTTAATTAAAACCTGAACACCTGACAGCTATTAAAGTCAAAAACTATTAGAACGGTATGACTTAGCCGTCTCTTCGTCGGCGTCTACCTCTTTTAGCACCCGCTCGTTTAATTTTACCTCTATAATATTTTATTCCTCATCCTTCCTTCCTTCCTTACTAAACGAGTATCAGATTTACTCTGTAAGTGCAAATTAACCTTTTCAAAGTTCACCTCGACTATTATTAGTAATATCGAAGCTGAAAAATGGACGCAAAGCACTGCAATTTGTTTTAATCTGTAGCTGTTGACCTGTACCTTTACTGTGTTAATGCATGTATCAGTTTTCAAATGCAGGAGTAAATTTCATATTATATGAAAAAATCACCATATACGTAATATATATCACATTCAGTTTGGACACAAATTACTCTTACTATCGTGAACATGTATATTTTAATTCCTTTGTATCAACACGGTGATTTTGGAATATTAGTGTAATTTCTTTCATCATAATCAGTTTCTTCTTCCAATGTTGTTATTTGCTAATTCATATTGTTTGAATCCGATTGTATTCTTGCTTGCTGCTTGCTAGAAATATTCCCTAGGAAACTCGTTGTATACGAAGAGAAAAAAAATTATACAATCAAAAGTGAAATAGTGTGTCAATGCCTCAGACCTCGGTAGACGGTTTGGTGCCGATGACGCTGTCAGAACTTAGCATCGTTAAGTAAAATTATTAATGTTCAGTTTATAAAGTCTTAGGAAAAAGTTCGCTGTGATAATACATGCTGCAAAAATTTATTGGTGTCACTCGGTGTAGTTATAAAGTGTGTAAAAGGTATTCTAAATCTGGTGGTATAGGCAGCAAATAAGCAGATACATATCATGTGATCACCACCACCCATAGGCACATGCAACTTAGAGGCACAAGTGCAACAATCAGGGTAGACCTTAACCCCGCCCCGGGACCCGATGGCATTCCTGGCCGAGCGTGGGTCCTGGCCTTAGTCGACGAGGCTCTCGAGCCCCGACTGCGAGGGTTCTTCAGCGCATGCCTCGAGCGGGGCCAGTTTCCGAAATTGTGGAAGACGGGGAAACTTTTCCTCATCCGAAAGGAGGGGCGCCCGGCGGACTCGCCGTCCGCCTACCGGCCCATAGTGTTGCTTGACGAGGTGTGCAAGCTCTTTGAAAGAGTGATTGCAAGGCGCCTCGTCAAGCATCTCGTGATGGTTGGGCCGGATCTGGCGGACAGCCAGTACGGTTACCGTCAGGGGCGCTCCACCGTGGATGCGATCATGCGCGTGAAGGCTCTGGCGGAGGAAGCAGTCTCCCGGGGCGAAGTGGTGTTGGCGGTGTCCTTGGACATCGCCAACGCGTTCAACACTATGCCCTGGAGCTGCATCAGGGAGGCGCTCGTGTATCACAAAGTGCCTCTCTACCTCCGCCGCATAGTCGGGGCATATTTGTCGGAGAGAGCCGTCGTCTACCCCAGTAGGACCGGTCTCGGTAGGCGTGAAATGTCGTGCGGTGTTCCGCAGGGGTCGGTGTTATGGCCACTCTTGTGGAACATCGGCTACGACTGGGTGCTTCGTGGTGCCTTCTTGGATGGTGTCGCCGTCGTGTGCTACGCGGACGGCACACTCGTGACGGCGCGCGGCAAGACGCACCACGAGGCAACCCTGAGGGCCACGGCCGGGGTTGCCCAAGTCGTTGAGCGTATTCGGCGGCTGGGTCTCGAGGTGGCTCTGCACAAGTCCGAGGCCCTGTTCTTCGACGGGCTTCGGAGGAAGCCGCCTGAGGGATCTAGCCTCACGGTAGGAGGCACTCGCATCGGCATCGAGCCCTCGATCAGGTATCTGGGGCTCGTACTCGATGGCCGATGGGACTTCGGATATCATTTCCGAGGTCTGGTCCCCAAGTTGGTTGGGGCAGCGCGTGCGTTGGCGCGGCTGCTGCCCAACATGAAGGGACCCGATGACTCCTGCAGGAGACTCTACTCGGGGGTTGTGCGGTCCATGGCCCTTTACGGGTGCCCAGTATGGGCGGGGGCCCTGAAGGCCAGCAACGTCGCGATACTGCGACGACCGCAGCGAATGCTGGCCATCAGGATCATAAGGGGGTACCGCACGATCTCCTTTGAGGCGGCGAGTCTCCTGGCCGGAACTCCACCATGGGACCTGGAGGCGAGAGCCCTTGCGGCTCTGTATCAGTGGCGCAAGGAGGCGCAGGAGTTGGGTCGATGCCCCGAGATTCGAGAAATCGATGACCGGAAATCCCAACTCCGCCAGGTCATCATAGGGGAGTGGAGGGAACGACTCGGGCAACCGAGCGCCGGGCACGCCGTCATCGCGGCGGTAAGACCCGTTATGGAGGATTGGCTCGAGAGGCGTCACGGGCCCCCTCATACCGATTGACGCAGGTGATGGTGGTGGGAAGGGATGTTTCGGAGATCACCTGTGTCTGATCCGCAAGGAGCCAACGCCTGAGTGCCACCACTGCGATGGCCAGACCGTGGACACGGCTCTCCACACGCTGGCAGAGTGCCCGGCGTGGGTTGAGCAGAGGCGAGACCTCGTGGCGGCCATCGGAGTAGGAGTTCTCTCGCTCGATAGCCTGATTGCGGCTATCGTGCGGAGCGAGAGTGCATGGAACTCTGCCGTCTCCTTCTGCGAGCAAGTCATGCTCGCGAAGGAGACGGCGGAGCGGGACCGGGAGCGGTTTAGGACTCTCCCGGCCCGCCAGGCCCGGGCACGGGCCAGGTACCGCAGGCGACTCAGGCGCCGGAGGTCGCAGAACGACCTCCGTCCTCCATAAGCGCAGGCCTGGGGGTGACAGGTGAGGCCATCTGTCACCCTAGCAGAAGCAGGCCGGGGTGGCGGCGAGCGCGTTGCGAAGCGCGCTCGCTTCCAGGGAGCACAGGGAACATGGGGTTCCCACACGGGGGGGGGTCGTCTACTCGTCTGTAGATGACCCGAGGTATGTCGGGGCACAAGGGACTTCCTTTCTAGGGTATACCTGGTTCCCCGGCTATTAGTACCCGGCGACGGCGTGCGGTTTTAGTCGGTTCGAGTCCGACATGCCACCGACAGGTGGTATCCGAGGGGATTTCCGCAAGGAAAAAAAAAAAAAAAAGGGTAGACCTTAACACCCGTCTTCTGTGAGGTCATGGTATCTTTTCGGTCGAGTCAGCTCTCATAAAGTATGAAATTTTTAGCAAGAAAAAAAAAAATTAAATGTCCATGTTCATTATATTTCCTAAAGCCATAGTCTTCCTTTATTTCGTTTTCTCACCCAAAATATCACTTATATTTTATGTAAGGACATCTTATAAAATTGGACACGGAAGTGACATAATTTATTGGCACTTTATCATTTTTACGTAATGTATTTTCTGCCCTGTTCCTTATTTTCTTGCGGAAATAACTGGCACCGAGTATTTTACTTGGGACAATTGATCTCAACAATTGCATTATTTATTACGCTGCCTTGTGTTTGAGTTAGGAAGCAAACAGTTCGAGGTTAAGTGGACCGTAAAAGTATTTCATCCTTTTGATCCATTTATTCTGTGTTAATCATGCTTATTTTTATTGCATTTTTATATAAAATATTACTGTCCAATTATACAGTATAGTTCTTGGTACTTTTTTTAAATAATATTATTAACTCTGACATGACCTAATTGATACATACTAACTTATAAATAATCGTGTTCCATAATGGTTCCATCGACGTTTGTTAAGTAAATATCTACGTTTTAGGCTTAGACACAGGCTGACTCCCTGACAGAGTCAGGTCAGGTCAGTCAGTTGAAACGTCAGGAAATTTAAAGGTATGTTCTTAATACTTATGGCGAGCATGATCATTCCTGTAAAAAATAATTATATACTAAGTGACACATAGTAGAAATGCATTTACGAAGCGATTTTGATGCAGTGGGCGTTTGAATACGCAACAAACAGTAGTGCTAGTTCGATGTTACGTGAGGTGACTCTTCATCAGGAATTAACCTAATTAATTCCTGAAGTAATTCACTCAAAAATGCAAAGAATTTTTGAGTATCACTTATAATATTTGAAGAGCCCTTCAATGTAATTATCTTTCTTTCTTGATCATCATTGAATGTTACGTTATGGCCGACGCTGTATATTTTACTATAGAATAAAAATCTGTGTGGTGACGGATTAAGAATACGAAGTGTATCCTATTCATCCCGTGGGTGTCGTAAGAGTCAACCCGTCACCAACCCGTCTGGACATCGTGGTATAGTAGGCCAAAACCTCCTTTCTAAGGAAAGGCCTACGTCCAGCCGTGGACTACTAAAGACTGTTGCTGGTAATGCCTTTTAAACAGAACTTTTCGGGAGAGCCATGCTTCAGCATATATGGGCCGGGCCCAAACAGAGTGATACCGCGGCTGTTGATGGTGATGATGACATTGGAATAGAAAGTGAAATCAAGGTTCCTTAACTTGATAAATTTAACATTATGTTATTTTAAACTAAAACACTACTAGAAGTAACAGAATAGTGTGCTTGTAGTGCTCTCTTTGTGTATGTGAAAGGAGATATAGTAAAAATAATTATGATTAAACTGGATTGTGTCAACCGAGTAAGTAAGATCTAATTAGTATTAGTAGCATGTCTTTGTTATTGTGCCTCATGTACTGGGAATATAAGATTATCCAAATAAATAACACAGGGAAAACACAGAATTTACCTCTTTGTTTACCAATTTAGTTATATATAATTTGGTATTGTTTGGAGAGTACGTAAGAATAGGAAATCAAGTTATAATTTTAATGTATCATAATCATAAAATATATTTTGAATAAAAACTGGAAATAACATACATTTAATATGATCATGATGATAATCTAGTTAATTTTTATTGCTGCATTTTCTAAGTTAGAATTTAGCGATATATGTAGTTGATGTACAGGCACTTCTGTAAATCATAACCCCGAATATTTATCCAATGTGTTGGGACCTTCACTGATATGTATAAATGCTGAACCATCTTTGATTATCAACTTTTGGCGATAGTTCAATCAGCTAATTTGTTTTGAAACGTCTTTGTTCATTAACTTTTGGTGACAGTTTTACCAGGGTACTTTATTTAATCACTTAGTTTTATAACATTGTACCACTACCTAGTTTTGCTCCTAATATCGTTCAGTAGTTTTGATCATCTACTTTTGTCGTTGACTGTACCTCGTAACGAAAACTGAAATACTGTATTTAGACCATCGTTCTGAGTCTAAAATCATTGGAATTTTTTGCCGGAAAATTAAAATGTTTATGCAATCAGCTGTCAAAGGTAAAAGTCATTCCCCGTGGTATTCCGTGCCAACAGTCTACGCACACTAACAGAAGTTGGCGGCCGGAGGGTAGGCCCCCCGCGCTTTGGCTGTATGTTCAAGTAAATTGCAGTTTTTGACCGTATATGGTATTTATTAATTTGTTTTCGGTGAAATGTTCTGTTTATTCATTGTGATATCATTTTTAACACTCGGATTCGGAATCACGGTCTGGATACACTATTTCAGTATTCGTTACGATGTCCCTTACACCCTGTAAAGTTTTTATACAGTTACTTTATTCTTAAAGTAACTGTATAATAATGTTGTGTTCTTAACAAATGACAAAACATATTTACTTGTAACAAAATATCGCCGATTTGCAGTCTTCCGTCTTTTTGTGCGGCGCCTCCCGCTGCCAATCTTGTTATGCTGACGTCACCTCCAGTCTCCCCGCCTGCTATACTTAATCCAAGCCCGCTCGCACCCCTTTCCAATGTCACATCAGCTGTCTCCCAAACAGAGTCGGTATCGGAATCCGATGGGTACTGCGAAAGACAAAGTAAGTTTTTATAGGTTCAACCACAGCTCCTCTTATGGCCTTTTTTTTTAATAAGCAGCATTTAAGAACTCAATAACTAAAACACGTTTATAAAGTTTTACAATAATACTTTTCAAAAATATGAAAAGGGGGAAGCAGTAAGTGACGAAACGTTTATTTATTTAAAAAAAGTACAACAACGCTCAACATATTGATACATTTACAAATAAATATACAGTATTTGACGACCGAATGGCGTAGTGGTTTGTGTAACCGACTGCTATTCCAAAGGTCGCGGGTTCGATTCCCGCTCAAGTCAAGCATTTGTGTGCATGAACATTTAATGTTTGATTTGGTCTGGGTGTTTCTATGTATAATAAGTATGTATTTACAAAAAAAAATATATAAATATGTATTTATATTAGTTGTCTAGTACCCATAGTACAAGCTTTGCTTAGTTTGGGACTAGATGGCGTTGTGTGAATGTGGTAGAATATTATTATTATTATATTATATCTGACATAATACTAAAAAACTACGTAACATAAATATTGATAAAACTTTATGATTATAGTAGACAGCTGAAAAAAAAGAAGTTAAAGAAATGAAACGCAGACTAGTTACATTACGTGAGTTACTATTTAAACTTATCATCATCATCATCAACAGCCTATAACAGTCCACTGCTGAACATATGCCTCTCCTTAGAAAGGAGGTTTTGGCCTACTATAGCACGCTGGCCAGACGGGTTGGTATAGGATTTTTTTCAAGTTTTCCTGTTGTCCTGTGCAGTTTGTTCCCTTAGTCGGCTCTTACGACACCCACGGGATGAATAACTTATTAAACTTATTAAGTACCAAAAACTTCCGTGGCAATGTTACACTGATTGAGGGCTCAATTCAAAGTAGATAGCAGTCCTTAATTAGTTCAACAGAATAGCACAGAAAACATTTTACTTTATTTTAATACGAAATCGTCCCTCCCACATACAAGTCATTACAGAAAGTAATATAAGTACTAAACTTACCAAGCTATATACTTATAAATATACAGTATACATATCTGTATATTAAATAGTATATACGAGTAACTTACACTATAAATAATTTTGACGATGACAAAGGCATATTCTATCTATAATTGGATTTCTTAAGCTCATTCTATTACGTGTTTGTGAGCAAAGAGGCCTCTTTGCTCACAAACGTACTCAATCAGAAGCCAAAGTAAGTGGCCACTTAGTTTGGCTTCTGATTTGTAATAAGTCCACACAATAATTATGAAATTCCCGCAAGTCAGACTAAATCGGAGCGTGGCAAATATTTGTTTTGTGGAGCAATCGGAACCTATTTAGTCATTTAGGTCGTTAAATATTAGCACAAATATTATCTCTGTATTACTTTGGGAATAAACCATGTTGACGTAAACTTCTGGATACATTGGATTTCTACATAATTGTTTTTTTATATTAAAATAATATAATTTTATCAAAAGAAATAAATAAAAGTATATGTAACAGTTAATATCAAGGAAATATGGTTAAAAACCTGTAAAATATCTTCTTAAATTGATTTAGAAATACATTTAAATTCCTTCAAAAATTTTGATTTAAATTATGAGCATGCAAATTGTACACATTGCATTACTAGTTATTGATATCTATAAATATTTACTGATATAAACTAAAGAATATGAAAAAAAGAAATTGTATTTTTTTTTATCAATATTAAACATTTCTTTTTCATATGTCCGTTTCTATGACGTATTAAGAAGTCAGATGTTCGGAGGCTATTGCACGCCATCAATCGAGCAACCTGTCAAGTAGTTGTTTTCGTTTATATGTCTCCGTTCATCAGGAGTGTCATCCTCGGCTTGACAGCCGGCAGTAATGGAGGTTCGAAAGAAAATGTATTTTCTGACAACTTAACACGGACGATCCTTTAATCCGGCCAAGAAAGATTTCATGGCGTGTATAAATTGTCATTTTTTTAAATATATAATCAACTCTATTTTTTTTATTATCTACAGTCACTTTAGAACAATTGAAGAAAAAATTAAAGTCTATATAAGTCAATATCTTCACTTCAAAAGATGTTATATTTTCAATGAGGGGTACAAACATACCTATTATTAATGGCACATAGCTGCAAAACATCTGCTGACTGTGCGTGTGCCTGCTCTGCTTTAGCAAACTCCAAAGATGTGAAATATTCAGGTGTCATCCTTGACCAACATTTGAATTGCGGCGAACACGTTGATTAATTTATTCACAGAAGTACGAAAAATAATATATATAATTAAGAGTCATTGCAATGAATCCGATTACACATTATTATTGCAAGTGTATTTATCGTTGTGCCAATCAATACTTAATTATTGCATAACTTCATGGGGTCGTTTGGCAAATTCAATATTATTGCCTATAGAGCGCGCTCCAAGACCCATTCTTAAGATGGCGATATCCCGCCCATTCAGATTTCCCACACACGGGCTTTGCACATAATGTACTAACAGTTATTTCTATTGCACAGCATACTGAACTTCCCTATAACCCAATACCATCAAATAAGAGAAGGTAGGACACATTGGACAGGTATGCAGACCGCAAGCTAGTCATGCATTTGTTTATAGATTTTATATATATTTAGGACTTTTCTTGTACAATAAAATTAATAGGATACTAAATATATACAACCCTAATAATAAAAAATGTGTGATCATCTTATCAGAATACTAAGGTAAATTTAACTATGCAGACACAGAAATATATTGGAAATTGTTAAATGAGTCTGAAATAGTTTTTGTATTTTTTTTATCTTAATCTTAAATTTATCCCAAATTATTAATTAGTTTAAAAATTATATGTCACGGATCGCCTGATACACAGGTTTACCCTAGTTCAGGCAGGTAGCGACTAAAGTTTTGAATTAAATCCTAATGCCTTTATGTGTAAAAAATCATACGATACGAATCATACAAATAACACACATAATAATTATTGTCTAAGAACTATTTTAAACCGAAATGTCTTACACAGCAATACATATATGTTATATATTATATGTTATTATTATAGCTATCATAAATCCCTCTGTTTCTAGAAATAGGTTACCAATTTTTAGCCACGAATTTGACGCTATTGTATCAACGTATACAAACCTTAAAGGAGGCCCCTTAAAATCATGAGGGTGACTTCCATGTAGTGCTTTTTTCTTCCAGTTTTCTATTAATTATTAAAATATATTATATTTAATATGCACCCGGTTATTCCTTCGCAGATCCAGATGTGAGTTTATACGTACATACATGTATTTTATTTATTATTTGTGGAAATAATATATTGATCACCTGCTGGTAGAGATAAGTTTCATTCAGTTTTAATTTCCTAAAAGTATGAAAGTGCTTGTTTTTCTAAGATGTAACATAGTCAATCAAAATATTTGACCTCATTATCTATACATTGCTGCCATCTGAACGGAAGTTCATTTATATCTTAACGATGGATCTCTAGGGACCTGGATTCGACAAACTGTGTAAAAGCATTTTATACTGCCTCCTGGGTAGAAATTTTTAATCACGTAGCAAATTGTCCAAATCACGAAAAAATAGTATTCCGTTGGAGCAAGGTCTGGCGTGTTCTGATGTTATTGCCTGACCAAACCTGAGAAAGCTATAGTGAATAACACAATGAAAGGTTCAATCACCAAACAGTTACTATTAGCTTTTTATTGGTAAGCTTTGCTTTAGAGCACTGGTGCGGCATTTGACCTGGGGTCAGCCATTGCATTTTTCGCTTACGATTATCTTAAACAATACAATTTTCATCACATGTCACAATTCTATACAATATTCCTTCATTCCTGTACCGATTCAACAAGGCAACACAGGTACAACACGCAATGTTTTCTGCATATCGGTCAAATCATAAGGCAATCATTTTTCCATTTATTTATCTTATTGATTTGATGCAAATGAGTCAATATTATAGGTAGGGTAACGTTAAACCATGCTGCTAATTCCTGGGCAGTTTGAGAGTCGGATCGGCTTCCACCATCTCTTTCAATTCAGCGTTATTCACCTATGTGGGCGGTTTTCCACTTTGTTCTTTCTTAAACCAAAAACGCACGGTATGTTCATTAGCAGTATTTTCTCCAAACGCAGCGATGATATTGCGATCCGTTTTTGCACATTTTTTTAAATAAGAACCGCACAGGTATCATGTGAAAAAAGTTTCACACGAAAATCTCACACCATAAATGTTTTATGTCAATTCAAAGTATAATAGTATTATTTAATAATATTTTCGGACATCTGGCACACAACGCCATCTAGTTTCAAAGTAAGCAGAGCTTGTACTATGAAAGCTAGATCGAGTGATAGAATTCTTTTATATATATATATATATATTTTTAAATACATACATATTATACATAGAAAACACTCAAACTCCGAAATAAATATTTGAATTGAACAGTCGTGTTCAGTATCTATTACCATACAACGGCAATTTCATACTTTAACCCCCTATTATTTACTAATGAATACTTTATTAAGCTGTACATTATTAGATATTGTGAGGGAATGAAACTTAAGTGAATGAATCGAATGTAATAGATGAATCTGGAATCGCTAAAATAGATTTTGTAAGCACTTAAAATCATCGTAAAAACTACATTTATGTTTCCGCTCGAATAACTCTGTGCGTTAAGATATTTTGAGATGATGTTCTTGAAAGTGTTTAACTTCAGTAACTTGGCTTTTAGTCGGTCGGTCATAAATTGATGGTACTGTAGAGCTGTGTTTCTAGCACTGGTGTTGATTTACACAATACGCCAATTCAACCTGCCTTATTTAAGCTAACCTTTTCAATATAATCAAATCGATCTAAGTGGCGTTTAATGGGAGAGGCCTATGCCCAGCAGTGGACTGCGATAGGCTGATGATGATGTAGTCATCTTAATGCTTTACTTGTTTTGTTGAAAAGTAGGATTAGTAGGATCAGTGTTAATT